ATATTCAATGCCAAGTGCCGAGGTGTTTGTCTTGCCTTTTAAAGAAGCTCCTTTAATACTTCTTGCAAGACTGGTTTTGAAACTATGAATTCCCTAAGCCTAATACAATTTCTTCAAATTTAAGTGATAATATAGGCAGATATTGCAGAGGTATTATTTCATGGCATTTTTTTCTATGTATCCCTCTATTCTCTTCTGACTTACAGTCTTACTTGATAGGTTTGCTGTAAATCTATGGATTTTCCTTCTTTCCTTTATAAAGAAAGTTCCTTTTTTTTTGCTTCCTGCTTTCAATATTTTGTCTATATCTCTGGATTTTGCCACTTTGAATACAGTGTGTATTGGAGTTCTCCTATTAGTCAATTTTTGCTGAGACTCTTCAGGCCTCTTAATTTGGTTGTCTGTATTCTTCAACTATGGGAAATTCTTTGTTACTTTTTATTTTCTTTTAAATTTATTTTTCTTATAGTTGTGGCATATGACTCTTAAAATTCTATTTTTCAAGTTAATAACATTGACACTAAGAAGCAAACCATCATTTCAGAGAGATATTAATAATAAAGGGAATATAACCTATATCATATACGTTTTATATTTATTTATTTAATTTTTATTAGTGAAACACCAGGGGGTACAGTTGTAGACTTACAAACTTTTGTGCTTGGGTTTCAGTTATACCATGATCTAGTACCCACCCCTCCACCAGTGCCCATTCTCCACCACCAATGATCCCAGTAACTCTCCCACCTCCCTCCCCCTACCACCTTCCACTTTGCCTCTGTGGCAGGGCATTCCCTTTTGCTCTCTCTTTCCTTTAGGGTGTTGTGGTTTACAGTAGAGGTATTGAGTGGCCATTGTGTTCAGTCTATAGTCTACTTTCAGCATGCATCTCCCATCCGGGACATGCTGTTCTCTTTACTTGGTGTTCCCTTCTCTATCTAAGCTGCCTTTTCCCTCAGCATGCGCTGCCGGCTTCCAAGCCATGGAGCAAACCTCTTGGTACTTATCGCAACTATTCTTTGGTGTTATTCTCCCATTCTGTTACTTTATATTCCAAAGATGAATATAAACTCTGGGAAATTTAAAAAAATTTTTTTATTGAATCGCCGTGAGAAAAGTTACAAAGCTTTCAGGTTTACGTCTCAGTCATACAATGATCAAAGACCCATCCCTTCATCAGTGCACATTTTTCCGAACCAAGAACCGCAATATACCCCCCTTCCCATCCCTCCCAATGCCTGTGAGGCAGATGATTTCTACTTAACTCTCTCTCTACTTTGATTACATTCATTATTTCGACAAAAGATGCACCTTTATTATTTGGAATTTCCTCCCAACAATCAGAACTGCTGAAAAGACATTGTGAAATAATTTGTCTTCTATTGCTGGTTATGCAGACCATATGATGTCGTGCAGCCATGTTAGTGGATGTGCAGTTTTGGATTTCTGATATTTCACTAATTAAGTCTGGAAGGATTTCTGACAAAAGCTGGATAATTATGAGATTGATTTGTGTGCCTCTGGGGCCATGGGCATGCCAGAGAGCTGCTTGTGGTGGGCAACTTGTGGCCTCAGTAGGGCGTGAAGGACGTGCTGGTTCAGCCCCCCGCCATCCCATGAGGCTGCAGTTGCCCCGTCACCACAGCTCATCTGCCTGGGAGGGGGGTGTGGAGAGGTGGGAGGGAGGCGGAAGAGACACACCCTTTTTCTCAACTCTGGGAAATTCTTATCTGTGATTTATCTGTGATATAAGTAAAGGTTCTTCATCAAATTTGCCTTCATGTTTTTTAGAGAGTCATGATTATTATATTGTTCCTCTTGAACTCATTCCATAATTCTCTGAAATGCTATTCATTTCTTTTCAGATTTTTTAATCTACTGTTGTTAGAGCTTTCCTTCATCTCATCTTGGAGCACTTTCGTCTTTTCTTTTTTTTTTTCTTTTTGGGTCACACCCAGCAGCGCTCAAGGGTTACTCCTGGCTCTGTACTCACTAATTACTCCTGGCGGTGCTTGGGGACCATATGGGATGCTGGGAATTGAACCCGGGTTAGAGGCGTGCAAGGCAAACGCCTTACCCACTGTATTATCACTCCAGCCTCACACTTCCATCTTTTCCTCAGCTGCTGTTATTCTGCTGCTCATACCTTCTATGGAAGTTTTTTAATTTTAAAAAATATTATCTACCATACTCTTCATTTATTTCATTTCTTCTTGTAGTTTCCTCATTTCAGTGCTCATAATATCGTGAGTTTTGCTGACTACCTGTGCCATAGTTTCTTTGAGCTCATTAAATATCCTCACGATGATGTCACTAAAGTCATTGTCTGAGGATTTACTGGAATGATCAGTGCTGATTGGTCTTCTGCATTACTGCTTTTGCTCCTTGAATTTGGAGGGCTTCTTCACTTCTCCATTGTTTTTCCAGTATTCCTGCTGTGCTGAGTGTGAGTTTCTGTAGTTAGATTACCCTGGAAGACTTGGAGGGATTAGGCTGGGAGTTACTTTTTTCTCTTACTGACTGTATTCACCTGATGATAGTATAACTGTGAGCAGTAGGAATTTGATGAAGAGCTATTCAGGAAATGTGAAGCTGGGCCTCTTGAAAAGGTGAAGGTTGGGAGTGGAGGCTTGCAGGGATTAGAGAGAAGGGAGAGAAATTCAGCCCACGATCTGAAAAAAACTTAGAGTTGTCAGCTGGGAGGTTAATCTACCTGGAGGGGTGGTATAGCAGTGAGCAGAGGTTAAGGAGATGTGGTGCTGAGCCTGTTGAAATGGTGGAGATTAATTTAACAGTTATTTATGCGGAGAGCCTGGCAAGCTACCGAGAGTATTCGAGAGTATTCGATATGCCAGACACAGTAACAACAAAGTCTCCAATGGAGACGTTACTGGGCCCGCTCGAGCAAATCGACGATCAACGGGAGGGCCTTTACCTTTACCTTTTACCTTATGCATGAATGTGTGGGTTTTATTTCTGGGATCTTGATTGTGTTCTATTAATCTGGTGTATATTTTGATTCCAATTCCATACTGTTTTAATTACTATCACTTTGTAATATTCTTTTCCCCAAATCTGTTGTTGTTGCTTTGGCCATGCCTGGCTGTGATCAGGGCTTAATTCTGGCTCTGCACTCAAGGATCACTCCTGATAGTGCTCAGGGGACCATATTGGGTTCTAGGGATCAAATCCCTGAGCACTTGGAATTGAATTCTGGTCTTCAGTGAGCTAAGAAAGTGCCTTACCTACTGTATTATCTCTCCAGTCTCATAATAGTAAATATATTTATAGTTTGTTTTTGCTTTCATAATAGTAAATATATTTGTAGTTCCAAATAATTTAAGCTCATTTGGCTATGTTTCTGTGAAGTAGGCCACTGACAATTTAATAGGGATTGCTTTCTATCTGTTATATAACTATTTTAATATTGCTTATTCTTTTGATCTGTGAGTTCTCTCTCTCTCTCTCTCTCTCTCTATATATATATATATATATATATATATAATCCCATGCTGTGTAATCCCATCAATGGCCAAGACCCAGAGACTATAAAACCCAGCTCCTGGAAGCATCTAATTATCTCATTTTTACTTTGAAGAACCTGGCAGGCTACTGAAAGTATACTGCCCGCATGGCAGAGTCTGGCAAACTTCCCATGTCGTACTCAATATGCCAAATACCAGTAACAATGATATGTCTCATTCTCCTAGCCCCGAAAGAGGATTGAATATGGCTTCTTTAAAATCTCAGGGCTAGGAAGAAGGAGACGTTACTGGTGCCTTCTCGAGGCAATCAACAAACAACAGGATGATTGTTATATATATATATAGGAGCGAAAGCACAGCTGGTAGTGCGTTTGACTTGCACGTGGCTGACCCGAGTTTGATTTGTCCACCCCTCTCGGAGAACCCTGCAAGCTACCAAGAGTATCTAGCCCACATGGCAAAGACTGGCAAACTACCCATGTTGTATTTGATATGCCAAAAACAGTAACAACAATATATATACATACATATATATGTCTTCTATTTCTTTTAACATTGTCTTAGAGTTTTCAACACAGAGGTCTTTTATGTCTTTGGGAATAAAAAACTTGCAGTTATAATGCAAAGTACTTAAAAAGTTTACTGTAAGAATTTGCTTTCAAAGAACTTACAACACCACTAGACAAGAAATTATATATCTATTCCAACCCCTCCCCCCCAAAAAAAAACCCAAACCCACCCTTTCTCACAATACTGTGCCTGACTCTACAAGCATATTTAAAGGTGTAGATATGGACCTGAGTAGAGTGATGGGAACTGTGTGGACTTAACCATCACCATTTCACTGAATATATGAGTTTTGAGCTGGAATTTGATTTTGCAGATATTTTAACTAAAGAGCTGAAGGTCGTGAGCTTACTAGGAATGGATGTAAAAGGTGGGCATGAACAGGTTCTCCCAGTAGAGAGGAATGAGGTCTGAATAGGGTTGAGAGGTCATGAGCTCTGCCCCTACCCCCAAACATGGGCACTGCAGCCTGATTTAGCCATCAGCACCCCATCAACTTCTACTCTTTAGTGATTGTAAAAGTAAACGTTTTTATAGCCCAGGTAAGTAGTGAAACTGCATCTTAGGAAATTTTAACATTCAGGGGACGCTGATGTGCGAGGAGACAGATTCTAGAATCCACCAAGTAGAAATTTAGGAGTCATTTAAAATTTGGGAGTAGAAAAATCTGATGATCATCTAAGATATTTGAAAATATCCTAAAACATAGAATAGAATTTAGTCATTCATTGCACCCAAAGTAAAGACATTCTAGACAAATGACACTGTGGGTGAGTGTCACCTAGGCCTATAAGCTTAATGCAGTTAAACTTCGATTAACACTGGACCGTGGTCAGCAAAAGTTTTGTTCTGGAAAGTTCCACTCTGGGAACTTTCGGGCCATGCTTGAAATCGCTCAGCATCTGCCTGAAGGACACAAACCAGACTCACACAGTGAACTTTCTCCAACCAAAAGTTTATTGTGTCGTCGTTACATGGGGACTTCCTCCACTCCCTCTCGACTTCCAGGACTTAATCTTGGGGCAGGGAAGGGGATGCAGCCAGACAAGAACGTTTCAGGAGCAAGCAAGTCCCAGGTGCCTGCATAGGCAACAGGCACCAGGCCAGACCCAGGGCTCTGGCACAAAGGACATTCTCCCATCTCACTTGCCCCCACGGCGCTGCCGGAAGTAGCGGTTGTAGGCCGCGGGGTAGCCGTAAACCAGGGCGTAGCGTTCGCAGAGTTTGTAGTCGTCGCAGGCCTCCCGGCTGAGCTCATAGGCAGGCTTAGTGCGCTCTCGGATCCTGCCAGGGGCAAAAAGAACACTCGAATTGAGAGGTACAGAGTGGAGACAGAAGAGGGAACAGCGGGGGAAAAAAAAAGCCATGGGAGAGATTCCTTCTGTTCTCTAATATCAGGGAGGAAACAGGGAGGGAAGGTGGAATGGAGAAAATTTTGATAAATATAGAACTTCTCTTGCCTCTCTTCACCCCCACCCACCCACCTTCTAGATTCTTCCACTAAATAGGCCTTCAGGAACTGAGCAGTTTCCTGTATGCTGCTTTTAAGTTCTTTCATTGGGGGATACACTTAGAAATCATCTGTATGATGGAAACCTTTTTCTGACGTTATTCGAATCTGGGGTGCACACTCTTGGGGTGCGTTACCCACCTCTCTTGGGCCTTCGCTCTCCATCTCAGGTGTGGGGATATAAAGGTATTAGCATTTCTTCTGTTAATGAAGGGACCTTCAAAAAAAAAAAAAGAAAGAAATAATGGCCATTTAGGGAGATAGTTGTTAAAAACATGTCATGAATGTTTCCAAGCATACACACATAGGAAAACTCAGTAATGAATGTATATCAATAACTAGACTCTACAAAAATCAATGGCACTTTTTTCCAGCTCTCCCTGATCAAAACAAACCAATTGCTTAGAAACGGTCACATAGGCCACTGCAATTTTGCTGATTTGTTGTGTCTTTGGGTGATCAATTTGCCTTTCTTAATTTTGGTATTCCAGTTCATGTGTGTTTCATTTAATTGAGGAGAAAAATCTCTCTCCTGAGAACTTACAAAGCATACTTTTAGAGTACCAGTAAAAGGAAAGTTAAAACGTTATAAAAAATAATTTAAAAGTGAGGGTGGTAAGTTATTTCCTTCTAGAATCAGCCTTTTTAAGTCCAGATATTCAATAACACCCAATGTAATGCTGACGCCTGTGGTCTCCCTGAGGACTTGGCCTAGAATCTGTAATTGACAGTTGTCATTACTTCTTGTTTTCCATCTATGTGGTTGATGTAGAGACAGCTTAAATTTCCCAAAGGATATTTTATGACTCCTCAGTATGTTGTAGACAGTTAAAATGCAATATTATACCTCTTCAAGCTTTAATAACTGCTCATTTGGCAATTTTATGGCCATTGGATATTTAAATGTACTTTAGTTTCTTCCTGTTATTTGTATTTCCACTTTTTCTAAGATATAGGGAGAGATTTAAATAAGAAACACATTCACTTACTGATTTCATAGGATTCCATGCTTTCATGTGATTCTGGAATTAAAAACAAGATTCAGTTTATGATAACTTTCACATACTACAATGATGTAAAATTGGTATGGAAGAAGAAGTTAAGAGTCAGAGATAGGTGAGGAGGAGATGCAGCAGTGTGTTTATTGCAAATTGTAGGCATTGAGAATTTATGAATTTTTTTCTAGTTGTAGTGTTGCTGTGATGATCTTTATAGTTTAATTTAATTTTTATTGACATTGTATTGTATTATAGCATTATTTAAACCTCAAGTATGCATCCCTACAGGTTTTATTTATTTTTGATGTTGAAGGAATTTGTGAGCCCAGTTTTGTCTCTTATTTCCCAGGGCCTAGAAGTCTTCAGACTAGTGAAATAAGGTAATTTAAGTGCTAGACACTGATTTCCAAGAATTTTTTTTTCTCTGATTAACTTGGAACCTGCCCGAGAGCAGAGCTGGGGAAGGGACAGAAGGGGCTAAAAAGCCAGGTTTCTCTGGACAGTCTGTAGATTCTTAGCTGGGTTGACCAGAATTCCCTTCTATGATGTTCCAGAAGCCTCTTAAGAACCTATGTTATATTGGCAGCCACAGAAACCGCAGCTCCAGCTAACAGTTCCCACTGGGCATGAAGCCAGTTCAGAGAAAGACTTGAGACAGTGCCCAAGCATACATTTCTCTCTTCCACCAATCTCTCAAGCACAGCAGGTAATTTTTGCAAGAGAATGTGATCCAGTGAATTCACTAGAAAAATTAAAAGGAAGGCAAAGGACGGACATCTTGTGAATCATTTCAAGAATGAGAGGCAAAAAATGCAGAAGACTGGTGTTATAATTTAGGCTGAAGAAGAGCTGAAATATCCAGATAACCTAAACCTAAAACAGATTGAGCTAAATAATGTTGCATTAGAATTCTTTTCATTACCTCTGAATAGGTGCAGATTATTTAACAATATGCAAAACATTTTTAATTTTGACCACTGAAATTACAAAATCGATTTTCTCTGAGATTCTGTAAGTGAAAAACCTTTAAAATCAATATTTTTCTTTTTTTCTTTAAAAATTAATTCACTGAACAAATGGAGTAAGTTAGCAAGTGATTCCATCTCAAGAAAAGGCAAACTTAACACTAGAAACTGATTTTCTTAAAGGTGAGTGACTCTACCTCTTACCTGAGTCCAAATAAACATCTTTCTGAATTAGCAAGACTTCCAGATGTATAGCGACTTGTCATGGCAAGAATTTGCTTGTTCAGTTGGATGCAAGAGCCTGGATAGGTAGGGTTTCCCCGGGGCTTAATGCAATAGATTGGTGCCCATGAACTTAGGAAAAGTAAATTTGAAGGCACTTGAAAATTAGGATAGAGAAAAGGTAAAGAGGAGGAGGCAGGGGAGAAAGGAGGAGAAAAGAGTAAACTCAGTCAGAGTCAGCAAAAGGAAACTGGAGAAATGGAGAATGTTTCTCACCATAGCCCACAGCTGCCAAGGCCAAGGCTGCCAGGAGCAAGAGCACGAGCAGGCGCCTCATGGTCTGTCTCGCCGTGGACCTCCCTGTCTCGTGCCGAAGCCGTGGGGAGAGAGGCTCCTGCAGGCTTTGAGGGAAAGGCTGGAGCGTTTTTTTATAAGAACTCCAGCAGCTGAAAGGGGCGGAACAAGTAGGAGGGGGCCAGAGAAGGTGGGGACTGGTTGGCACCAAACTCACTCTGGGCCTTTTCCCAAATATTCATTCCTTCCGATATTATCTGCGTCGGGCGGACCCGGCTGTGTGGTGGCAGGATGCTGTCCGCTACGGAGTGGGCTTCACCCTGCTGGGAGGAGGCAACTCCACAGACAGGGGTTTGTCCTGCCTTTGCCTCTGATCTCCCCTCCTGGACCTCACTGCCGCTCTTTCAGGTTTGGTCCAAAGACAGAGTTACAGTGTTCTGTTGCTCCCTGATGGATGGATGAGAAATTCTGGGGAAAAAGAACTTCCCTTCCTTGGCGGATTCTAATTTTGATCTTTCTAGGAGGGCTGAACTCTCGTCCTGCACCAATGAGGCATTCACCTGGCCATAGGCTGCACCTTTTGCATTTCTCTAAGTGCTCAGCATCGCAGAACTGTCCAGTGGCCCCTAGAGTTCCCCCCACCCCCTGCCCCTCAATTGACTCCTTGTGACTTGTCCATCCAGTTTTGTGACTGCTGAAATCCAGGCCCTCTGCTCTTTCAGACAGCAGAGCCCTCATTTAAAGTGCAGAGAAGATGAGAAAACGTTTCTCGTTTTCTGAGCGCATTGTCTTGACAATTAACCCATTCGATATGCTTTTCCATGAGTGACAGATGAGATACAGGCACCGTGCAAGCTTCTGTGAGGGATCTGGAGACAAACACGACATACGTCCCTAAGGAAGTGAAGCTATTTACTATTCAGCTGGGTCTAGAGCCGTGTCTTCAAACACAGAGTTCGTGAAAACACACTATTCCTGCTATATTCTCAGCCCCACAGAACCTTATTACTTTTCTTAGGAGAGCAGGATTGCAATTTTCTCCAATGTTTCTGTTCACTGGGAATCCGAGAATCTTCTTGGCAGACAAATAGACCAAAGTCACTGAGCTGCAGATTTTAGAAGAGTTAAAAAGAAAAGGAAAACTCTCTGTTTATTGGGCTGGAAGAGCAAAATGAGGCTGAGAATACGTGGGGTGGGAAATGGCATTTTTCTTCTTTTTTAAAAAAATATATTTATTAATTTTTTTTGGTCAATGTGAAATTACAAAGTTGTTAATTATTAGGTTTCAGGTATACAATTTTACAGCTCTAACCCCTTCACCAGTGTGGTGTGACAATTTTCTGATAATGATTGATTTTAAGGAACAATGAGGAGCAACTGGGTGGAGTGTTATGCCTTTTTATACTTCACTGGGATGGACTTTTTCCTCTCACCTCCATCCTGTAAAATGCTTTGAAAATGGAAGGGGTCTCTGTTTAAGGAAGTAACTCAGTTATCATTTCAAGGATCAGGGGCCTTTGGTGGCCAAATATTATTCAGGTTTTCCTTTCCGATATTTTCATATTAGGGCAAAATCTCCAGGGAGTGGAGAGATAATAAAGTGGATAGAGCATTGCCCTGCACATGGTCAAGCCAGGTTTGATCCCTGGTATACTTCATATGTTCCCCCAAACCCTCCAGGAGTGACAGATGAGATACAGATGAGATACTCTGAGTTCAGAGCCAGGAGTAAGCCTTGAGTACCGTGGGAGTTGCCCCCAGACAAACATCTACAAGAACAACAATGAAAACCCAGAAAATTTTTAATGAGAAGAAAACAATCTTCAGGAAAATCTTAAAAAGAAAACAATGTAGGTTTGTTCCTGGGAACGTTAGTCACCACCGTTTCAAAAGATTGGTGACTGTTTTCTTCTTCAGAGCACAGATTTACTCTCAGTGTTTGTGAGAGTAAATCTTTCAAAGATAAATCATCCCGAAACCTTATTTTGCCATGAAATATTTGCCAACACTTATAGATATAAGCAAAGATTAATTGACTACATTCTATGTTTTTTGGGGTACAATGAGCCATGACTTGATCAGATGGCATTTTCTATTGACTCAGGTTGGTCACTAATCTCCACTTAGCATTGTGTGAAACAAGCTAAGTTCCTGTGCTTGTTTTGAGGTCCAAAAAACAAACAAAATTATGTAACTGCAGCTGGCACGTACAAAACTGGTATGAAGATGGAAAACAGCAGCTTTCTTCTGCGGCTCTCTTCAAATGAAAGAGAATTCTCTCTTTCTAGCTACAAACATGGGCTATGTAACCTGTGAACACTGTCTGCTGTAGCCAGATGTCAACACAACTCCCAAGTTCTAATGGCAGCTTCTCTACATCAGCTTCTGACATTGCTATTCTTGTTTTTTGTACTCTGAATTTAATCCTTATTCTTCATCTTTTTTCACAAGTAATTTTTATCACATACCCACTGGGATTTTCTAAGCTAAGAAGGATTCTGCTACCTTTGGACAACAAACATTTTCTGTTGGGAGCAATGAATACACTATTTCTTCATTCCTTTCCCTGCTTTCTGTGGATCACCTGGTTCTACTCTGTAAAATCCCACCTACATGTGCTAGATGGGAGCTCGGAGCTCTTCTTTCGCTGTTTTCCATCTTCATACAGTTTTGTACGTGCCAGCTGCAGTCACATAATTTTGTTTGCTTTTTGGACCTCAACAGTGCTGAGGGACTATTCCCAGTTCAGTGCTCAGGGAATCATGCAGTGCCAGGGATTGAAGCCAGGGCTACTGAATGCAAATCATCTATCTAACGTATTGAACCCATTCTCTGCCCTCTGGATCATGTATTTTTATCCAGGGGACTTGGCCAAACTTGTGAAGTAGGAACAGGACCTCTGTATTAGAGCCAAGACTGATGCGTCTCAGAAAAGAAAGCTAGAGGTAGCAAAAATGTGGAGGGGGGAGAAATGAGAAGAGTGACTGGTGCTGAATAAGACAGTTTTGGTGAATTGTAGAGAAAAAGAGCTCTGGGGATGGTGATGGGATGTGAGACAGGAAAAAAGAGACTTGTGGATAGACACCGAGTCCAGTGACCTAAGACTGTGAAATACTGAGCATCTCTAGAAAGGATTGCAGTGATTTGTCATTACTTTTTGCTGCTCATGCATTTTAAAGGGTATATTTATGGGTATGTCTTGTACTGGGTAGACTAGTGGTTTTCAATCTTGTATAACCATGGACTGGCAGTGTTCTATGAACCAGCAATTGAAAACCATTCCAGTTCCCACTTATATTAGGATATTAGATAATTATGAAAGACATTTCTTTTTTATTTTTGATTGTATTTTTTAATTGAATTACTGTGAGAAAAATAGTTACAAAGTTGTTTATGATTGGGTTTCAGTCATACAATGTTCCAACACTCTTCTTTTCATCTGTGTACATTTCCAACTGCCAATGTCCCCAGTTTTCCTTTTGCCACCTCCACCCACCACCACCAGCCTGCCTCTGCATACTCTTCTTCTCTCTCTATGGCAGGTACATCTCCTCCTCCTCCTCCTCCTCCTGCTCCTCTTCTTCTTCTCTTCTTCCTTCTTTTTCTTTATTATTTTTCTTCTTCTTTTCCTCCTCCCCTCCTCCTTCTCCTCCCCCCTTCTCCTCCCCCCTTCTCCTCCTCCCCTCCTCCTCTTCCCCTCCTCCTCCTCCCCCACTCCTGCTCTCCTCCACCCTCCTCCTCCTCCCCCTCCCCCTCTTCCTCTTCTTCTCTTCTTCTTCTTCTTTCTCCTCCTCCTCCTCCTTCTTCTTCTTTTTCTCCTTCCCCTTCCCCATCCCCTTCCCCTTCCTCTCCCTCCTCCTCCTCCTCCTCCTCCTCCTCCTCCTCCTCCTCTTCTTCTTCTTCTTCTTCTTCTTCTTCTTCTTCTTCTTCTTCTTCTTCTTCTTCTTCTTCTTCTTCTTCTTCTTCTTCTTCTTCTTCTCTCTCTCTCCTTATGGGCATTATGGTTTGCATTAAAGGTACTGAAAGGTTATTATGTATATCCTTTTGCCTACTTCTGAAAGACATTTCTGCAGACATTTTCTTCTAACTAAGAGGAATATTCTTTGTGGAGAATTTAATTGAAGATACTACTAGAAGTGAAAACAAAGGTGGTACAAACGAGATAGTGACAAGATTGCCAATTTTGCCAATCATACAGGACTCACAAAAGATTTGCAGTGTGGTGTCACCCGGGCAACAGAAGCCTCAGAATAATATGAAATCTTCTGTTCCATCCATCCTCAGGAGAGAATAATAATCACATCTTCAGATGCAGAGCTAGCCTCATGACTTAATCACCCTGTCATCCACCCCATCTATTTTTCTACCTGTTAATCCATTCACTCATCCATTTCTACATATCTAAACATAAATATAACAAATACTTGTTTTGAGCATCTTAATATGCTCCCACCCTGGGCAGATGTACCCTTGAGCAGATATACACTGTACCCTCATGAATCATCAAGTGTGCTCTAAGATTGCACATTTTTTTTTAAATTAGGAAATTCAACTTTGAAGAATTTAATTTTATTTTAGGTACAGTGGTTTATAATACTGTTTGTTAATGGTAGGGTTTCCTGTATAAGGCATTCCAGCACTGCACCCCCACCAGAGTGTATCCCTGCATCATTGTCCTAGTGTCCACCCCACCCTATCATCCTTCCTTTGCTAGGCTTCCACAATGAATTGACTGAATCCTCTTATGGAATGGTTTTGGAAGTTCATTGAACTGCCAAGAGAAGACCACATGATGTGCTTCCTTACTGGGATGGCCTCTTATATGGTCCTCCAGGGTATCTCTGTTTACAGAACATTGAATATAGTACTAATGATAAGCTGTGGTCATTCTGAATCAGCAGAGGGCAGAGGAGAGATTGGCAGAGCTACCAGGAATTACTGTGGGAATAAACTTCTCTGAAAAGTATATTTGCTGGGTGATATACCAAAAAAGTTCCCCCTTGTTGATATTTGTATGATGAGAACACTTGTAAGGTACTAACAACTTTGCTGTATTCTTCCCCTGAGTCTCTCTTCTCTTCCCTCTGTCCTATGTT